AACCAGTTCGGGCTAATTTTAAAATACATCGAATGATTGGGATAGGTTTTTATCCAGACTAATAAATCAGAAATTATATTCTTATTGAAGTGAAAACTTTTTAGGCGCGTTTTGGTTTTTTTGTGGAGGGAATATTAGATTGTTCCGTCAGATTTCCGAAGTGTTAACGCTCCGATAAAGTTGGCTAGAATAGACTGATTGAAATTTTTTTCCATATGGTTTAAAATAACCTAAGAAACTAAAAATCGGACCTGCATACTGTAAGCGAGGAGCCCTCTTGTTCCATATATGAGAAGAAACTCATATTATTCCTGAGGTGTATTTGGGCTCCATTGTTATTTGCACAAATAAGTCTTGAATAAGACGATAAAAATATTATAACAATTTTTCCAGCGTATTATTATTTGGTGTACAAAGGCCATGTTTATCGAATAAGAGAATACTGAGAATTATTCACTGTAACCGAACACTAATTACATGAATATTTACCCAACTGCAAACATAACAGTAATACATTATGTTATGTAATTGAGTAAATCTAAAAGCAAAACAAAGTAACCCCTTGTAACTATCGGTAGTTAAAATCGTCGGTTAAAGTAGGATGGGAATGTGTTTGCACAAGCAAAATGGATTCAATATCTCGGGAGTAGATAAGTTGAAACAAAGGGGGGAGGAAATTTAATATTTTCTAAAATTTAATTAAATTTTAACGTTTACCTAAGGAAATGTTTTAAGGGTATAATTACAAAGGGCCGACCCCCTCACTTCCCCCCTCTACTGATGGGCTCCCATTTCTACTCCTCTTGATAATTAGGCCAGGGGGAGGTTCGGAGACAAAGAGGAGTTCTGGCCGAGGTTCAAAGCTTCGCTTCGGGAGTCTTGTGAAGATCATTTGGGAGTTTATTTTATATGAGCCTTGGTCGGATAGTAGTGATGTTATCTCTTGCAAGCAGATACAAAGGTTGAAACAAAAATATTGTGAGTTTTGGGTGTTACTCTAATAATCTAATATGGGGTTAAAATTTATTATTGAAGGAAGCTAGCCGACTGTCCTCTATATCGTGGGTGATAAATATCCAGGATGCAGTCTTTTTTACTTAAACACACAGTACTTGAACACCCTCAGTGCTCAAACCACGCCCTGACGATGACCCACATGTTTGGGTTGAAACGTTGGCAAAAATAAAAGATATTTTTTTTTTTTAAAGACTGCGTTTCGAATATTTATGATCCATGGTTTAAAATATATATAAAAAAATAAAAACTAGTTTTTACTGAACCATAAAATATTGCTCGAAAATCATTGTAGTTCAATAAGCAGTGGCAATGGACACAAAACTTCATTTTGTAGAAAAAATTCTTTAATCTGTCATTTTTCAAAATTTGAAATTCAAAATTGTATAATTTTCAAATTAATGATAATTATTGTAGTTAAATTAATCATCTATTTGACAATTTATGATTTATTTTGCAAGAAGATAATTATTTTTGTCATTGCATCCTTTTTTAAAAAATACTTATGAACCGACTAAATATCAAAAATATTTAGTCGGTTCATTGCAAGTCCTTAAGTTATATTTCATAACTTTAAACAATTAACAACTTTTAAGAATTTTCCAGCCAAAGCAAGAAATATTCACGAGAGTCCTATTTATAAACAGCCCTTCTATTTGAAAATTTGATATGAAGAAATACGAAAACGGTCCACATGCAGAGCCTTTTATAAGTGGTTGACATTGTTCTTGTAGTCGAATCAAAGACGTAACTACAGCAAGCACACGTGGAATAGGAAGAAGAGGTGCTGAGTAAACAAAGGTATGCGAATTAATATCTCCATGAGCGAAGTGCTGGTTATAGAGAGAGAAGAAGAGGAAGACGTCCGCAAATTGGTCTGCACCGGGGAAGTTCTTGAGACGGTGAAGGAAAACATCTACTTAGGGACTGTAATTAGTAACTTTGGTAAAATAGACGATAGATTTTCGAACAGAATATCCAAGACAAATCAGACATAGCTGTATCCTCGACTACCACAGAGTGGATAAGAAAACCAAGATGCATATATATAAGTCTGCATACCTGCCTATTCTCACCTACTGCGGAAAAAGCTTGACTATGTTGGACAGACATTAAAGTCGCTTAACAGCAGCAGAACTTATGTCCCTACGTAGATCGGTGGGGAAAACTAGGAGGGATCGCATTAGAAACAAAAGTATATGAGAGCAGAAAGAACCTGAACCCAAAACCACTTTGGAGAACAGAAAACTCAAATGGTTTGGAAATGTCTGCCGCATGAACGAGGACATGAACTCTATAAAGGTATTCGAGGCTCCATCTGCTGGAAAGAGACCATGAGAGCATCCTAGAGTTTCATGTCAGAAATTCATGCAGAGGATTATAAGTATAAGAGGCAAATCTCTCAACCGAATAAAGCGGAGACCAGAAAAAGTGGCTGCGCTGGATAGAGTTTCCTTGACGCTAGAAATGGCATGTGAGGAAGATGAAGAACAAGGCTTATGCGCTTGTCGTAACTATGTTAGATATATAGAAGGGTTAGTATCATTTTCTTTTTCTTACAGTGTTTTTGTATCGATAAATAAAGTCCATATTAAAAACAAATAATATGATGTCTGCTTTGGAGTTAATGACTAGGAAAATCATAAAAATATTATAATAATTTATCAGAATCTCAGTGATTAGGCATCATTATATGCCTAGAAACCGTTTTAAAATAAACAGGATTAATTATGTATTTAAAAACTAGAAGTTATTCAGGAAACAAACAGAAGTTACTGAAAACATTTGTAACTTACATATTATTATTTATTTATTTAATATTTTAGTGCCATGCACAGCTAAATCGGGCTAAATTCGTAATTTACAAACGCTATAAGATTTCGATATTTTTTTAATTTATTATCAATTAAGAATATCAGTATGAAGTTTATTATGGAAGTATCTGGATGGGACCATATATGAAACATGAGAAACATTAAGGTCATTATGGATGGTTTTATTTGTAACAAAGTAGGGAGCATTGAGAATTTTACGAAGGATTTTGGATTGTATGGATTGGATACAAGAGGAATAGTGGAGCTCCATAGCTCAACTCCGTTAGCCCAAATAGGCCTTATTATTATCATGTATATGAGTCTTTTGTGTATAATTGGAAGTTTAGAGCGTTTAATTGCTGAACTAATCGGAAACGTCGAGCGGTTTCTTATCATTTCAGTCTGGTATGAGGAGTTCAAGTTTAGTTTTAAAAATCAACTCATTATATTTATAAGATTCTGCTTTTATTTTTAACGATTTCTGTTTTGTTTTTTTCGTTTCAATTTTTATTTTTCAGAACGTTTTTACTTTTATTGTTTATATATTGTTGCTTAATACACTGTTTGTATTGTTTTATTAATGTATTTTTTGGCCGTATATGTTTTTTTCGTCCATAATTGTTATTATTCTAGGAACTTGTCCCAGAATAAAGTTTATTTTCTATCTATCTGAGTGAGTAATTTTCCTTAATAAGAGGAATCTTATTTAAGTTCTTCTTCAGGAATATACAGTGACGTTCTTAAAAGAGATAACTCTAATTAGCATCAATGAATTCGTATTAAATATCAGAAGAAGATGGCTGATTAATTAAGCTCATCATGTAATTGGAGCTTTACACGAAAGGTATAATATTCTCTTTATCACTGCCTGAAGTCAACATTTTGAGATATAATCCACTTTACAGGCCAACAACTTCCTCTAACGACTAATTATTTTTAAAATGATAAGATTTATAAGAATATTTAATCTACCTAATCCAGTAAAGTTTTTGAATGATAAAATAATTTACCTTTTTTTTTTTTTTTAAAATCCCCCAGAGAGACAATCCAATTAAGAATCATAAATTTGAATATATTATAATGCCATATTTTATTTTTTATGGAATCAACCTTTGATTTAAAATTATTATTTTTAATTTACAGCAAATAAAATGCAAGAAAATATTTGTAAATACGTAGCCCATGAATTACCGAATACAAAAATCTATTTCCGCATGTTTTTTTTTTTTAGATGAAATTATGTTTAATAATATAAAATAACGCTGTATTATTTCACCAGGTTTATTTTATTTTATTTTTTTTACATTAGCAACGTTTCGGCTATGATGCCATTTTCAAGCTATCTGTAAGACGCAATTAAATATATATTCCGTTCAAACTTATTTTAATTTAGTTCTCAATCTATCTGACTCGAAAATATTTAAATATTTTTTTATTTCATAAAGTGTAAGTGTAATTTATATGGGGGCGGGATGGCCGAACGAGCTAATGCGTTTGCTGAGCACCGCGAGTTGCCCTGCAACCAGATCGGAAGTTATGAAAGATTAAAGTACGAGTTCGCATCCCGGTGCCGAAGGGGTTTTCAAATATCTCCAGCATATTTTAAAGCAATCTTCATTTTTAGTTCGGTCTAGTGTGTGTTATTACTCAAGCTAGTTATTACCTCATATCATCGGTTTATTACAAAAAGTCACTAAAAATATTTTTGGTGGAGTATAGAACGTTTTTGTGAATTTCGACCTTATTCATCACGTTTAAAGTAAATGTACTAAAATGGCAAGCCCTGGTTATGTCAAATAAGGTCACAACAAGCACTGGATTTTCTGATTTCATAAGAGAAAGTTCATCAAATTTCGTAGTGGTTATGAAATGACACTTAATGGCACCAGTAAACTAATGGTATATTCAAGATAAAAAAATAATAAAAGATAAAAAATCTTTATTATTAATAGAATAATTGTACACACATTCATAACTATGCACAATAAGGAGGAAAATTAATGTTTGTTTCTTATTTTTTATTTTTTTCATATGTTTTATTAGTATTTTTTAGTTGCAAAATACTTTGTTGTATCAATATTATTTGTCATTCGTACCCTACATTAAATTTAATGAGTTTAAATAATTATTTTTAATAATTATTCTTACAAGGCAATTGCCTTAATAATATGAATTATTTTGTTTTTATTTTGTGATTAATATGCCGTGAAAGACGTGACTAGAAAGATATCTGTTATAATCGGGACAATATGAGGTCATACCATTTCAACCGCAAGAGTAATAGTGCGACCCACGCAGAGCCACCGGAAATTATCTAGTGACTGGGATCGATACGAACAGCCACCGCTCAATGGGCGACAACCTATGAATAGCTTTTACCGTGGTTTGTGGCATCTCGCTTCGATAAAAGTACGGGCTATACAAAGGGACGAAGAAATCCTCAAGAGGAGAAAGAGCTGCCGAAAACAAAAGATACCGCAAAAGGTGAAGTATAAAGGTGTGACTGATGGGGACCGTCCGACAGAAGAGGTCCTGGGGCTGGCAGAAATATTAGCGCCGTTCTCAGGATAAAGGGAAGATGACGGCGATCAGCGGAGTGTGGCTCATAATGTCTTAACCGATTGTCTGGAGCCACCTGCGAGGCCGTCACCTGTCTCTAGGCTAAGCTCTATTCATATCGCCCCCAGGCTCCGTCATGACCTAGAACTCTACCTCACTGAAATTATATATAATGAAATGGATTATATTGAATATATGAAACAAAATAAGCTTTCTACATCGTGAATTATATTAAATTTTTAAACTAAATCCAACACACAACCAAAGCTGGAGGTTGATGACAAGAGTTGATTACAGGTCTCCTACAAGACTATGGATCTACATCTCCTGGCTAGAGTATGATTACAAGAATATAACTGCAAGAGATTTGTCCTAAGGATCAGGAGGGTAAATATACAGTGTCACTGTATATCACTAGTGGGTACACAGGAGGAGAGGTGGGAATGGGGAGGAAATTACACCTTTTAAATTACAATGCATCTATTTAAGTTACTAAATGTAAGCTTGCATAAATAAATATATATATATGCATTATTGTTCCTGAAAAACAATTTATTTTAATTTTTTTTTTACAAGTATTGAAGGTCCTCTTAAATATTAATTTATACATATTTTTTCCCTCCATAGTAATTACCGTTATTAAAAAGATAGAATAAAAAAAAAAAATGCTGGATCCACTGATGTCAACAGCAATAGTAGAAGTAATGAAGAAAGCTCTGATAGAAGTGATTATTATAAAATATATAATAATGTAATTTTATAAATAAAAGAAATAAAAAGCATTTATTATAATAAATCTTTTAAAAATAAGGTGTTCCACGATCACATAGATTGCACCGAACATGGAATGCCGAAACAAGGCGAGTTTGGTCGAACATGCCTGGAGAGAATCTCATAAGTGGAAACTTGAGTAGAAATATAAATTAAATAAATATTAATAATAGTGTGAACCGACACACTCATAGTTTTTCCATTATAGAATAGAATATAGAAATAAAACGAATTTTATGTTTTAAAGAAAATAGTACATTCACAACATAATTATTGGAATAATAAATACAAAAAAATACTTTAATATAGCTATAATAAATAATAAACAGCAATAAGTAAAATGAAAAATTGATTTTAAATTAAACAAAAATCATAAAAAGAGACACATTTTACAATAATTAAGCCACCTAATTAGACATTAAAAAAAAATAGTGTGGTCTATACAGTTGACTTGTTTTGTATTTTTCTTTATTTTAGTCTCGTAAGTCTTATCATCTATATATTTACATTATACTCTCATTCGAGGAAAAAATGGATAGATAAAAAAGTGTATGAAAGAAAAAAAGTTTTATAATATGATATGAAATGCTAAATTTAAAAATTAAAAAGCAGCCGGAGTGCTTCTTATGCTCATAAAATTATAGGGCATCGCCCCATTTTTATCTCCTCTCCCTAAACAGCGAGCCAAAGTTCCACATTAATATTCCAATGAAAGCTGCCCTAATGGCTACCCAGGGCGGCCATATTAGCATCAGTGCCGGTGGTGATAAGTCAGAAAAAGTCGGAAGAACACTAACTCAACAGGTAGCGAGTCAGATAGCGGCGATGAAATAGTGCTCTGTGGAAGCAGCTATGAAATTGGAGTATAACTCACGGATGATGTACAGTGTTGGTCCAACCGGCAGAAAAAGTCACTGATACTGCCTGATCGTCGGTCCGGGTCGTCTGCGTTTTCTGATAACAACTTTGACCCCGAATTTCATGCTTGTCTTGCTAAAAATATTTAGTTTTTTTCTCCTGATTTCTAAAAATTAATATTTGATCAAACTTTACATACTGATCTCCAGCCGCCAACGGTAAACAACGCATAACGACCCTTTACCGACGATTTTATATAGATTTAAGCCGACATAATGCCATTTTAATAAGACACATGACTACAGTATCTCTGAATATAATTAGAATAAAAAGACGCCGGATGAGAGATCTCCTTCATTAAACAATCAATGTCACTGATTCATGCCAAGGAACATGTGCTATTGGGTACTCTACTTCCTCATTCTTGGTATATTGCTATTGGTATTGGTATATCATTATTTTTCGAAATATTATACTTATTTGCTGATTGGCTACAGATAACAAAATTGACGATAAATGATAAAAAAAATATTTATGTTCTGTTACAAGTTAATTCAACGAAAAACCTGAAAGTAAATCATTCATATACATTGAGAATGGTATGGATATACTTGACCGTAATAATAATTTAAGAAGAAATTGGTCGGGAGTGAGTTGTAGCTCTTCATTAAGATATTTCATCTGTCATTGCTGTATTAAGTTAGGAGAGCAATGTTAGATTATCATCACTAAGCTTATCTCCAGTCTCCTAACTTCTTCCGGCTGTGGAAGACGAAATGCCTTGATGGAGCTCTATAACATAGGTCAAAACGTTGGCAAACACAATATTATTATATACAAAGTTAATTTAATATATAAAATGAAAAAAAAATTACATCCTATTACAAGAAATATTGTATAAAATAATTGTCAAGACATTATAATTAATTTTAACATGATTTCAACTCGACGATTCTTAGGAAAAGTGAGGAAATAAGGATTCGAATCTTCAATGGTATTCAAAACCAATAAATATTTAATAGAATAACAGAAAAACATAATATACTCTAAAAACTACATTGGGTATGTCTAACCATAATAACTAAAACAAAAAAAAAAAAAAAAAAAAATATATATATATATATATATATATATATATATATATATATATATATATATGAAATTATATTCTAGATCTGAGCTTTCTCGGTGAAAAAAAATATAGGTTTAAATGATGAAAAGGTGGGAAAGCAATGGAGTGTTGGTAAACTTGTGAAATAGAATACAATCACGAAACTTTTACTGTATTTTTCAAATTTTTTTCACTTTATATGATAATCTGTATTCTTATTTAGCACCCATCGTAAAAAAAAAAAATTACCCTTCTAGATTTATTCTTTCAAATCTACGGCAACTCCTTCAGAGAAGACCCACCATTAAAAGTATACTAAAATATATTATTATAGTGAGAAATATATTTTAGAGATTCAGTAACCGTTTACATTAGTAGCAGTTTGCTCATATTTTTAAAAGTAATTTAATTATAACTTCCTTTACCGCACATAAAAATTAAAATAAGTCACTCGAATAACATGCAACATTGATAAATAGTAAATAATTTAATTTTTGAATAAATAAGTTTGTGAAATTTAAAATTTGTGTTTTCTCGAACAATGTTCTATTTTATGATAAAACTGTTCAATTAATCACTAGCACTAAACGGCCTTAATTTCAAAAGTTAGTTAAGGTTTATTGCCATCATCGTAAAATTTATGTACGTCAGCGGATATTAAATTCCTTACAACTAAAGACAGTAATTTTGGAATTAACTAATATCAATACCATTAACGACTAACTAACGCAAAATTATCGCTGGTTTGTATTTTTTATTTGAATTTACGGAAAAATAAAATTTAATCATAAAATTTAAGCATTTAATTTAGGTTCAATAGAATCCAAGTAGATTCAAATAACTGATCCTAATACTCCATTTCTTTATTATTTATAAATTCTATTTTTTTATTATTAATTTATTAATGGATAATAGTTCCATCAAATTTTATTCTGTCATTAAAAACCTCGGAATAAAGTTTGGGCAATCCTTTCATGGAAAAATTATTTATGCAATATTTCCCATCGTGACTTTTCGACGTTAAAGTGACTAAATTACCTGCCTCATCTTATTTCCTTCCACTTTCTTAATACCTTTCTTCGACTACTGTTGTACGCTATATGATGGCATCTCAAGGAAACTCGAGTCAAAACTATAACGGTTGATAAATTGCTTTATACGATTCATCTTTGGTACCACAAAGAGCGGCTCTGTTTCCCGTATTTACTAAGAGTTGAAGTGGCTTTATCTATAGTAGTAAGTACTTCCTCGCATCCTTTCTATTCCAAGTTATGCAATCCCACCGTCGGTCATACATCTTCAAGGGTCTTCAACTCAAATCCTCTGTTCACTCCCGAAATATTATAAGCTCTCGGTCTACAGATTTATACACTTCTACTAACAGAACCGAGGCAATCAACTAATCGTTCATTATCCGGATTTCTATCCCTTCCCACATCCGTCCTTCGATTAACCTCCATACATTTAGATTCCGCCTATATAACCTCTCTCTATCTATTCAGTACAAAAAAAAAAAACAATTTTAATTGCTTCGCTTGAAAATTAGAATACAAATTATTTGTTGATTTTTATATTATATTAAAGCATCATAGAAGTATAACATAGTAATATTGTATTTATTTATTTTTTTTTTTTTTAGCTTATTTATTGAAAAATGTTACAATCTGTCTCAAGGATATATTTTATTTATTAAGATATTATTTAATTTAAGGTTTTATTTACGAGCATTTTCTTCTTAAATTGAAATTTCCCTTAGTAAAATTTTAATTTACTGTAATATATATTCTAATGTAAAAACTTTTCGCTATCAACATTATATCAGCATAATTTCTCTTAGAGTTTTTGACATACCTACTTATTCTTTTCGCCCTATTTTTTCATCGATGACATTTTTTCAGTAGCTGTTTCACTATTTAAAATATATTGTTGTTGCATTTTACACACGTGGGCGTTTTATAACATCTTAGAAGGATATAGGTACTGGCAGTATACGATTCTGAGGCGGCACAGCATAACTTCTTACCTCCTCAAACTTCTGGAGCTAGTGAGACATTTACAACAATTAGGATTAACTTCTGTTAGCTTAGAAGGTTTTCTTATCCATTCTTTCTCCCTTTCTGCTAATTCTGTTTTCTTTGTATGGTGTACAGAGTCTTCTAAAGTTACCTCTAGCCACCTCCGTTTGTTCTCCACTTCTAGCCAAATAGACTGCCTGGTATGCTTTTTCATTTTCCGAAATGACGCAGTAGCAACCGTTCGCAAACAAAGACTACTATAATAACCTTATTTTTTACCTTCCACCTTAAAAAGAGTAAT